TAACTGGGAGCTTGGTGTGTGTGTGAATTTTTTTTTTTTTTGGGTGAAATGGCAGAAGAAAAACCCTTATCAGGATACAGCCAATTTCTGTTCCAGATGTCACACCCGAAATGCCAAACTCAAATTGGGCTGGCAGAAATTTATAGGGAGATGTTTTGATTTGTTCTTTTCGGCTTTATGTCTCACGGGAGGCAAATCTAACTATCAGAGTGAAATAAAAATGTCAGACCATGAAATGTGAATTTTTTCATTGTGTGTGTGGTTGCGCTGAAAATGTCATCAGTGTCTGACTGAATGGGAGGCACAGCAGCACAAATATCTGTGTGTGTGTGTGTTGTGTGTGTGTGTGTGTGCGTGCGTGCGTGGTGAACATGGTGTTTAAATGCTTTTAATGCATGTGTGCGTAACTGTGTGTGTTATGTATGGTCAGCCCATATGCAGTCTTCAGCTAAATTGCTCCTGAGGCTTTGCTTACAATCTTAGTAGTTATTGCATGACTTCAATTGCTATTAGGACTTTGGACACTTTTTCCCATGGCCCATTGAGCAGAAGCTTTTAACGCACTGCTTACCCCAGAGGTCAACAGATCTCGACGTGTCATTTTATTCTCCAGGAATATCTAAAAAATACCTAGAAGGACCATCTGCTAGACACTTCTGACAAAAATCTGTTGCCGAATCAACAGAAAAATCCACATGAGTAGGTCCACATAACTTTTGAGGAAAGCAGTATTTTATGGTAAGTCTCCTGTTTGCAACATCCATCTAGATTCGTGTGCCCCTTGAAGTCACTGATTGAAAGGGAGAGTGTGTGTGTGTGTGTGTGTGTGTCCTTGACGCCCAGCTTATCACCTGCATTTTAAAATAACACAACAGCTGTCTAACCTGGAGTACAGGTCACCGTGTACACTATTTACGCCTCCCACTTATTACTTCTGCATGTAGTAGTAGAGGTTGGGTACCCAACTGGATGTGTGCCTGTGTGTGTGTGTGTGTGGTGTGTGTGTTGTGTGTGATGTGTGTGGTGTGTTTGTGTGTGTGTTGACCTTTGCCAATGACTCGCGCTCCCTCTCCGTCAGATCTTTATCAATCCATTTTCTTACCGCAGCTATAGCTTGATGCATGGAGCGGAGGCATTGTATCAGTGTGTGGTTTGCGTGTGTGGGGTGTGCAGCGCAATTTAACACACACGGACACGCACATGTTGTGACAGAGCGCACATACCGTCTGGCAACTTATACAGAAAACCACCCGCAGCGTGAGAGTACCGGTAGGAAGGAGGTCGATAGTAATTCCCTTCCGAGTGCGTAATTTCCTCCGAGTGTATAAATCTTTACTGCCCCGACTAGAAAAAGCCCAAACCTGATTACAGAACGGGACCGTGGCCTCTGACACACACAGGAAAACTCTCACAGACGCACATGAACACACTCTGATAGCAGCCAAATACACACTGGGCCTCACTCAGGAGCAGTTAGTGTAAGACAGACAAGACAATGGCACCAATTCATGGCAGCTCAGAAAGGCTTTCTTCAATATAGCTTTGTCTCACTGATTGCCAGCACCACTGTGTTCTCATCCAAAATCATTAGCGCTCCCTGCTGTTCGGAACCACACGTAAACAGACAGGAAAAGTTAGCGGCCG